GCTTAGAGAGGGCTGAAAGCCCTATGAAGCGGTATATAAGTCTAACTGCTATTGCTATTGCTATCATCCCTCTCATTATTATTTTAGATTTAGTTAAGTTTACACTTCATTTGGAAAACAGATGACTGTACTAATTGTAGCAAAAAACTAAACAACCCACCTTAAACTGACTGCAGTTGATTTCATGTACTGTACTGGTTCATTAATTCACATAACTTTATGTTAACAGCTTTGTTCTGATTTTCTTCTTTAGGTTCAAATAGTTTTTTTCCAAGCAAGATATTTGTAAAGAAACGGCAAGATGAATAGCAAACTGGAGTATTTTATAAAGTCAATAAGAAGGCTACAGGCATGTCACAATGCAGCGAGATCTTTTCCTAGAAAAGAAATCAAAACAACTGCGTCTGGGATTAGTGGTTATAAAAATTCTGCACAAAATGTTCAATCTCCATTGTACGTTCCTTCTTGCTGGCTCCATTCTTCAATTTCAACTAGTTCTCAAAATTCTTTTGTTTATGTTGGGAGCAGTGATGCAAATGAGCAGAAAGTAACTAATGATCTTGACCAGGAGCAGAATTCCAAACCCATTCAGTCGAACTCCTCAGAGGAACTTAGAAATACCACTGAAGAAGAAAGGGATGAATTTGACATTTCCCAGAAATTTTTCAGTGACCTTAAAAAATGTGCATCTCCTTGTGATGTACTAGACTTTGCGGCAACAAGCCAGGTCTCTCCAAAGTATCTCAGTAATTCTTTTTCAACCATGTGGATGCTTAAAAAGAAAACGCTTAAGAGTCAGAAATATGACGAGACAAAGGTGATGATTGAACACCCTCAGTTTCGACAGCTCTGTCAGCATGTGATGGACGAAGCAAAGCACATGGATGGCAATGATTTGGCACACACTCTACTTTCTGTGGTAAAGTTAGGAGTTCCACAAAATACTTTGTTAGTTCAGACATTACTGAGGACTTGCCAGGTAAGCAAAACCGTAACCCGTCAAAAGCGCGGAGGACAAAATCGCGCTCGACGAAAGCGCACATGTGATGTCATCACAGCGCCACGAAAAAAAT